TGTGTGTGTGTGTGTGTTGTGTGGAGTGGCGGACTGGTGGGCTGGGGACGAGCTGAAACAGCACCTTTCACGGCCCTCTCACGCAAGTGAGAGACACGCCGTTCAACCCCCGTTGTGTGAAATCCTGGTGTTTGTGTGTGTATGGGGGGCCAGGTCGTGCTGTGGCGCGCGCAGACATGGTCAGTCGACCATGTCAGCCACCGCGCCCATTCCCCACTCCAGTCTTCTGACCGGCTCGGACAGCGGCTGGGGTGTGGGGATGGGAAGGTAGAGTGAGGCCGACGACTCAGCGCACTTTCTCCTCACTATAAACAATCTGACGCGCTTGAAGCTATCACGGTGCGCTAAAAGCCGTGGCTTGGAAGGTTGCCAACTGACGGGGTACCTTGGACCTCCTCCTTCACTGGAGGCGGTCTGAGAGTCAGGCTGCAATGGCTCCTTTTTAATGTGGCCTTTATGGCATTCCCACCACAGTGTGGGATCCGAGCCAGGCGTTGGCGGCACGCCCAGGTGCGGCTTCGGCCGTGCCAGCCTCCAAATCTCTGTTGTGTTGGTTGAAATCCTGGTTATTGCTGTGTGGACCAGGGGGTGTGGGGGAACGCCAAGGTGAGGATCCGTCCGAGCCATCCACCTGCGGCCTCCCTCGTCTCCGGTCTTCTTGACTCTGTCTTGACACCGGGTCCAGGCGGGGGAGGAGGAGAGAGTGTAGGTAGATGCTACGCAAGTCTACCGGCACTATAAACCCCTGCGTAAGTCACCGTCCCTGCTCCCATTGCTGCTGCAACTGTGGGGCACACGGTGGACATCATCGAAACCGATGGTCGAACTGTCAGTAGTAGTAGTAGTAGTAGGTAGTAGTAGTAGTAGTAGTAGTAGTAGTAGTAGTAGTAGTATTAGTATTAGTAGAAGTAGTAGTAGTAGTAGTAGTAGTAGTAGTAGTAGTAGTAGTAGTAGTAGTAGTAGTAGTAGTAGTAGTAGTAGTAGTAGTAGTAGTAGTAGTAGTAGTAGTAGTAGTAGTAGTAGTAGTAGTAGTAGTAGTAGTAGTAGTAGTAGTAGTAGTAGTAGTAAGGACAATTTTCTGTATATGATATGAGCTGACTAATGAGCACCAATGGGCGGAATAAACTCCCCAAGGGGACGGCCTGCGAAACTTCAAAGAGATAACTTACGTTTGTAACCTCTCAGGAAGAAGGTTTCTGGGCAGGAAGACGCATATCTGTGACCTGAAAAAAAGAAGAAATGTTACTGGTGCCGCCGCGTGGAAAGCAAACTCGAGTGAATTTCGACTAGATATTTAGTAGGTCTACGTGAGCCCTTCACCTTTATATACTAAATTGGTGCACTTCTTAATATGATTCAGGCAGGACTCATTCATAACTGCTCAGCCGAGTAGCAAACGCAAGGACTTCGCTTCCTTGAGTGGCGTGTGGGTATACCCAGTGAACAGTGTCGTTAATTAAAAATAATAAACAAAGAGTGCAATTTCAATCGGCCAGGTAATTACTTTTCTGGGTTAAAACAAAAAGTGCTCATTGGTGAACGAAATGGAAAAAAGGGCGTTCAGGCTCAGGTGTCCGTACGGAGGTGCTTCCAGTTAAACCTCTCCAAGATGAACATAACTGCACACGTAGCCATCTAGAATTGCTGTGTCCTAGTGGACTGGCAAGAGCAAACCCCTTGGAATTGACTGAACAGAGCTAATAGACAGAGAAGACTTATATAGATAGCAAAATCCTTGTGCTCACGCGATACGTTTTGAGTAGCTCTGCCAGAAGCTGGCACGGATACGATCCCGCAGTATCTCATTAGCAAGACCGACCGTCTGTGGTGTACTGAACGTCAAAGACCGGTCGGCTTCAAGGGGAACACTGTGCAGCCGACCAGCAGCAATGTGAACTTGGAAGGGGCGAGAAAGTGGCGATCCAACAGGCAGTCCTTCTCCGGCCTAGGAAAGATACAGACGAG